TGAAAGTTGTAACATTTGTAAGAATTACTATCAAAGCAAAATCGATCCTAACTCTCATTTTTTAGAAGAAAACAGAGACTGTGCTCGCAACTGTTCACAATTTATTGAAACACTAACTGATGTTCATTAGCACCCTTTGTGTTGAAGTTCCTCTCTTGCTAATGTTAACAACAAATTGTAGATTTTACTTCATATTGCTTTAGTATTATCTCAGGTCATTTGTTACTAGTGAGCACAAGGAACAGTTTGTGTGATGGTCCATGACAGGAGCTCAGAATATCTAGAGTTTGATAAGAATTTTAAGCCTTGTGTCATAACCCTACCTTTGATTCAAGAGTGAAATGCAAGAGATTTTGTCTTTATATTGTCTGTTGCTATTTAATGAGAAATAAATGGTTGCCTTTATCATGCTTCACTTACACATGCCTCACACAATTCAAAAGCACTGTGCAAAGCAGTCTTTGTAGGTTTTCTTGCGATGACTCCCAGACCACTGTCATTGGAGGCAGTAATGGCTGTCTAAGCTGGTTCCCTATGCTGATTGAAATATAGGTAATGGTTGAGGCTTATTGATGAAAAATTTGAAGATTGTTATTGCAATATTAGAAAATAGTCTGTTTGGAAAAGGGATGATTGTATTTGTAATGAAACAAGTATGGTGGAATTCAGTTGAACATTAGAATTATGTATGTGAAGTGATTGATGAGGAATTGAAATGAAACTAAGGCAAAACATCAGTGCCTGAATCTGCAGTGCAACAGTTAATTTTTCATTTTGATAAAATAAAGAAAATGAAATGCATATTGAAAACAATACTTTATGCTGAAATAATAATGTGATTTACTGATTTGTGGATTATAAAAATATTTGGAAAATTTTGTTCTGCTTTTGCAGAAGGTTAAAGTACATTTATTTTCGTTCTGTTGCACTTGCGTAACAACTATTACAGTTTTGTTATTTTTGTCCATGCAGGTAAGCGTTAGTGTTCCAGGGCAACAGACAACAGTGGTTCATACCCCTCAAGGCATCCGTCATCACATCACCCCAACACACCATCCACCTCCGCCGCCACCACAGCCTGTGACTGTCAAGCCGCCTCATCATCCGCAGCCGCCAAGGTAAGAGAGTGAACTAAATAAAATTTTCATCAGCTGGATTTTATGTCTAATGCCATCTTCTGTCTGATTTTCATTAATGTATTCTAAGTTCTAGAAGGAGACACAAAGCTTGCCTAAATCAGTTTTGGCTTTCCTTGTAAATTTATAAGGAGATCTTGAAAACTTCCTTCACGATTGATCAACATTTAAGGAGAGAGAGAAAAAAGTGATTTACAAGATAGAACAATGTATATAACTATTGAAGTTGTAGTCATTATATTATAGATTTCAGTGTAATGAAGCTTTATTTTTGACATGTGAATAGTTTTAAGTAGATAATGCTAAACTTGCGTTTAATGGATGATTATTTGTTCTTGTAGATCAGCGTTGACATCTGGTGGTGTAACACCACACACAGGACCAAGTTTAGTTGGCACTCACAGTGTTCACAATGTAGCAGGAAGTGGCAGTGGGGCTGGGGCGGTGGTGGTGGCAGCAGTGGCAGTGGAAGTGGGGTGTTGGAGCTAATAGTGGTAACACTGGGGAGGAACAGCCAGTGTCAGTCAGGTAGCAAGCAGTGTTAGTGTTGGCAGCAGCACCCCCACAGGCACGAACTCCGGTAGCAGCTCTAATGCCACCAGCAGCTCTGCAGGGGGTGCACAGCACTCCACCAACACAGCCCCCCAGCACCCCAGCCGGGAACCCCAGCCTCCCCCACCTCATCATCACCCCCATCACCACCACCAGCCTCCAGCACAACCTGTGGAGTTCAACCATGCCATTAATTACGTGAATAAGATTAAGGTAGGAGCCCCTGTAGTGTCATGATTTCCTTTATTTTCCTTCTTTATGGAGTTATTTGTAGATTTGCAAATTTTGGCTAAGACTTAACAGGAATTGGAGAAAATGAATATATAGATAAACAAGTCCGTGAACTTGATTGTTCAAGACATTTTGTGTGTTTGCATGTGTGTCTGTTATCCATTACCTAAAGATATGTAAGCAAATTTAGTAATGATAGATAAATAGCAGTGTCTGGTATTTCTTTATAGTAATTTCACATATTTAGTTGGGAATCATTACCATCAGACATATGAAGGAATGATGGGGTTGGCTAGGTGCTGGTCTTATCCATATCCGAATTGACAATGTTTCTATTTCTCCTTTTTGTGAAATACTGTTAGATTTTTTGTTTTCAAAATGGGATAAAACACTTTTATTTTTCTCTAAGTCAAGGAATATCCTCCTATTTTGTGTTCTTCATTTAGTCTTTGGAAAAATTATTATCTAGTGTTAGTATTGAATGCGTAGAAGACTTGATGCATAATGTTCTCTATTTCAAAAATCATCTTCTTTAGAGCTCTTGTGTTTTAATACATAAAGATAAATGTATCTGTAAGACTAATTTCCAACAGTTACTGCTTTACCATAATTCTTAATGTGTAATATATATATATACATATATATATATATATATATATATATATATATATATATATATATATATATGTGTATGTATGTATGTATGTATATATATGTTTATATATATATACTTTTTTTCTCCTTTTTTTTTTCTTTTCTTTTCTTTTCTTTTTCCCTACATTGTCAGGCACTCTTCAGTCATTCTATTTGTCTCTGTAAACTTGATAGCTTTGATAACAATAGAATAAGAATGATAACTGTAGTGGAATATCCTTTAGAGTTCTATTGCTTGTTGTTCATGCTACCAAGTTCAAGGGACTGTCCCACAGAGGGGAGGGTTATAGATGATGAGACGGTTGTTTTCAAGCCAGTGAGTAGTTTAACCCTCCTCTAATCAAACACTTGTTACCATTGTTAAAATCTGTAAATGCCTTCCAATGGTTGTAAATCAGTTAGGTCCTACTGGGTTAGAATTAGAGCTTCAGGTACTATATGGCCTATTTCATCCATGGAAAAAGAAAAATTTTCCTCATCCGCTTTCCCCTCCACTCGCCATGCTAGTACGTATCAGAAATTCATCCTTAAATATTTCTGTTTTCATACATCTTGGTACTTAGAAATACATTTGAATACATATTTCAATACTTTCTAGAATCAAAATCAGATTTTGTTGCTTTGTTAGATTTACAGGTTTATGGAAAATTATCTTGATTTTCATTCATATGCAAAGGGTAACTTTATCAGCTTCTTGCGCTGTTAAAGCATTGTGTTATAAACATGAAATATCCTTTTCCTACTATGTAAAATTGAGTTGAAATGGAACTAAGATTTCCCATGTTAAAAGTAAGGGGAATTAGGGGAACACACAAAATATAGGGCTCGTGGGTCAATGGGCATACCATAACAATTACAAATATCCCTCCTCATTTGTGTTGCCAAGATCCTAACCACCTGAGCTTCCCAGCTACCTATTACTCCAGATTCCCACCCCCTTGCTCGCTGCTGGGACCCAGAGACATGGTTATTGATAGATCTTATTTGAAATTAACTTAGCAAAAGGATTGGTGGCAAAAAATACAAAATGAACAGTACAAAACAAGAAGAATAGGGACACTCCTGGCTGTTACTACTGGTCTGGTTATTTCATCCTGAAAATAAGAGCAATTTCAGATAAGTTAGCAATTTTTTTGATCAAGGATATAAAAGTTTTCCTTTCATATATATTTAGTACCCCTTTGCCTATAAGGGAACCATTAGTCCCTTAAAATAATTTTTAGACTTTCTCTATGCAGCCACAGCAAGTGAATCATTATGGGAGAGTAAGGTAAGTACAAGTTATAGTCAAGTAGGGTTACTGCAAGAATTATAAACAGCAAAAGAAACAGACCTATTAATGGTCTCTGGAAAGTATTTTGTTAAAATGTCAATAGTTCATAAAATATGTATGACATTGTTTGTTCCTCAACACTTCTCCAGCCACCCCTTCAGCATTGCTTAAATACACCTTGAACACTGCCTCAACGCCTCTTCAAGCCTACACTACTTCAGTAATAGAAATAATGATGGCAATACTGATAATGATTGTTCATTATGATTCATAATCTCCCTTTACTTAGGAGTAAGTGTAGGCATGTACAGGACTACCTTTGGAAGATGACTAGACAATTAACACATTCACAGGTCAATTACAATTTATCTTGCATTTACTATGCTGAGCCTATCAGATACACACAGCATGAAAGTTATTGACTTACCTAGTATGTCCTGAAAATATGATGTATGACTTATAAACATCCAGGTTTTATATTAGGTATAATTTATAATTGAAACATGATTTTGTATGATTTGTCAAAATGACTCTAAGGTTAGATGTTCTAGATAAGTGATGCCTAAGAGAAGGGAAGAAAAGATAAGGTCAACAGGGGGAAGTATTGTCAATATGAACTATATTTTGACGTTATTATGTACCTTTCTGACTGATTAATCCTCGTGATGAGAACTAGAATAATCCTTTTTAAGGAAGGGATAGAGTAGGTTGGTATTTTTAGGGTAAAGATTATTCTTAAAATATAAAAAAAACAAACACTGCTACTTATCAGTTGTTATTTTTGTCGCATTACACTGTAAGCTCACTATTTATACGCTGATGAACAGTTGCATAATTTGGTGGATCAGACAATTTTTTTTTATGATACTGTAGAAAATCTGGAAATTTGTGCTCAAGAGGTTTTTACCCCAGGGATAGGTGAATATAAAGAAAAATATATTTATGTAAACAAATTCACTCTTGTAACATTGTTGCTAGATACACGCACTGTAGTTTTGTTTTGTAAATTTTGTTTTCACAATTTTTTAAATTTTCAAATACCATGTTATTTTTACTGTTATTGATATTAGTTTTACAATAATCATTATCTTATCAACAGTGATAGGAGTAACAATAAAAACAATTTCATAAGTTTAGAAAAGGGTGAATTGTTTTAATTAAGTAGGCCTAGTATTTGACTCTCTGATGACCAAGGGCCTATGGTTGAGCCATCTGTGGGAGCAAAGTGAATAAACTAAAATCACAATGGACTGGACATATACATGTTCATGTCCTCCCAGCTTCTACATGCTATTTTCCAAATTTTTGCTGAAATGTCTTTATTTATTACAGAGGACAGAACTAAGTCTTCCAAGGATTTCCCCCCCCCCCTCCTTCCTGGATAGAATAGTAAAGACGTGTCAGATGCCATTCATAAACTAGTTGAGGCATTGTAGTTCAGTTTTATTGATTCTCTTTATTTTCGTATCAAGTGATTGAAATTTTAATTCTCTCGTGCAGTTGCGGTTTCAAGGCCAGCCTGACATCTACAAGCAGTTCCTAGAAATCCTTCACACTTATCAGAAGGAGCAGAGACACATTAAGGATGGAGGATCAATTCCTGCCAGAACACTCACCGAAACGGAGGTCTATGAGAAGGTAATTTATTTTTCTTGGTTGTCTTCAGTAAATGAGATTTTCCTTTGGTATATGGTGCACCTGGGACATCCAGTAGCAGCTGGCCTTATAGCGCAACAGTCATAATGCCAGCTGTACTAGTTTGAATATCAAGATAGCACTCTATCCAAATGATTGACATATTCTTTCCCTCTAGCAGTGTTTAAAGTGTTTGGATTTTATATACCTAGACCAACACACACAAAACCAATACAAATAAGCATGTGTATATTGACATTTATGTATATAATCTTATGGATATGTATATTAATGCTTCAATTTTTTGAGAACAGGTTGCAAAGTTATTTGAGAACCAAGAAGATTTACTGCAAGAGTTTGGCCAGTTCCTACCCGATGCAACCAACAACTCAGCTGCCCAAGCAGCTGTTTCTGACTTTATGGACCAGTATCGCACTCATCATGGGGTAAGCATGCAGCCCACGCCTTTTAATTTTTCCAGCCTTTTGAAAAGTAAAAATTAAGGATATTCTGAGATTTTTATAATTTTATGATATTTTTTTCACAGAGTAATAAAAATGTAAGCAATGATCATACCTCAGTGAAGAAACCAAACCTAAAAAGCAGCTGTGGTATGGGATCTGGGAACAACATGGTCAGTGGGCCCGGCAACCCCCCCAACAAAACGCCACCTTTGTTCAGCCATCAGCTAAAAAGACCTCACCCAGGGCCAACACAAAGCCACTCCCATGGCCACGCGCATGCCCAGCCACCCGTTAAAACCAAAATTGGGTTATCTCAAAGATATGAGTGCTGCAGAAGCTGGAAAACATGCCACTCTAGCTGAGTATGCCTTCTTTGACAAGGTAAATTGCATGGGTTGTGTTCTGTTTGACGAAATTGAGTTCTATACTTTTCCCTTGTAAATAATGATAGTATATATATTTTTTTAAAGCAGAGAAATTAAGATAATTCTCTCATGCCAATAGGTACGGAAAGCGTTACGTCATGAAGAGACGTATCACAACTTCCTGAGGTGCATCACTCTTTACAACGAGGAAATCATCACACGCGCTGAATTGGTGCAGCTAGTCCACCCATTCCTTGCAAAATTCCCAGACCTGTTGAAGTGGTTCAAGGTAAGCTGCCTCCTCATTTGTCTCTGTTTACCCTGTGATGCCGGAAACATGCTCAGTCTGCTTTGGTTCTTCTCTTTTTAATTTACAAATAGATAGCTCTACAAGTGCTTTCGTTACCAAGTAGTCAGAACTAGCTGGCCTTACAATACCAGTTTATGCATTCCCTGATTTTTTCATAAAGTTTTGATTTCTGTGTATGATGTTATTTATTTAATATTTTTGTTGTTGGTAATACTGATAATGTTGTAGATACCATTGTTGTTTTAATATCATTAACAAATGATAGTAATGAGAAAAAAAGCAGTCCTGATAATTAGTGAATAGGGTCATTTGGTGAGGTCAAGTAGGGCTTAGTAAGTGAATCTTCAGTGACTAAGGACTTGTTCATCCATGTATGTGTAGAAAATGAATAATGAAAGAAAACCAAAGTGAACTGTGTGTGTGTTATATATGCACTCCAGGTATCATGTGTTTTGAAAAAATGTACAGGAAAATTTAGTGTTAAAATGGCATCTCTATGTTAGTGAATTTAATCTGTGGGGAACTATTCAGAAACAGTACTGTAATGCAAAATGTCCATATTTCAGGATTTTGTAGGATACCGTGAAGGAGCTCTAGGCAGCTCAGATATTATCCCCTCAACTGTTGCCAAACAAGAAAGGATTAGTGGTGATCTGGCAATGGAGATCGGTAAGTATTAAGAAAGATGAGCAAGAGTGATGATGACAGATGAAAATTAAATAGTTTTTGTAAGAAACCTGAATGAACATAGTTGTCAGTGCTCAGAAATTTGTTCAGATAAAGGAATGATGGGAGGATTATTGGAATAACAAAGTGATTTATTACACTATAAGTATTTGTATGGTCTTCAATCCATTTCCAGATTACACAACATGCAAGA